GTCTTTTTCGACGGGGGAAAAAGTTCCAGGGATTCATCTCCTTCGGCCATCCTACACACAGGTGATTCTCACTGACTGCTCGCACCAACCGGAGGGGCCGAGGGGGCGGGGTCGTGTGACTCGTTATGCTCTTCGCTGCACACAACTGAGGGAGTCCTGCACTTTCCGTCTTTGACGACACGTAAAAAAACTGCGCATACCGCAGGAACGGTATATCGGGAAATTTTTGTGGTTTTGAAACAGTGACTTTTCCAAACCGCGGTATACCCTGAAACCGGTTATCGTCCCATGCCTAGTTACATGATGTATTTGCAAACGATATATTATTTGTTTAATTTCTGCTTTCGATAAAATAACTAATAGTAAATAAATGACCATAAGACTACAATGTGCCTTATGAATATTATGATTGTTTTGTACTTTTCTGATGGCCACACCACGTTTTTGCAGAACATATTTAATTTCTTCTTTTTTGACAAAATAACTAATAGTAACTAATTTATTTACCATACGACTATAAATGTCTTATGAATATTATGATTTTTTTTACGTTTTTGATGGTTACACCATGAGTTTGCAGAAGATATATTATTCGTTTAACTTCTGCTTTTGATAAAATAACTAATAGTAAATGACATAAGACTACACAAAATGCCTTATAAACATTTTTTGTACTTTTATGGTTACACCACATATTTTCAGAACAGATATTATTTCATTTCTGCTTTTTGACAAAATAACTGATAGGAAATAATAGAAGGCTACACAAATGCCTTATAAACATTTTTTGTACTTTTATGGTTACACCACATATTTTCAGAACAGATATTATTTCATTACTGCTTTTTGACAAAATAACTGATAGGAAATAATAGAAGGCTACAAAATATGTCTTCTGAATATAATGATTTTTTTGTTCTTTTTATGGTCACACCACGTACTGGCAGAACAGATATTATTTGTTTAATTTCTGCTTTTTGCAACAGAAAATAGATGACCAAAAGACTATACAATAAGCCTCATGAATATTACATGAATTATTGTTAGTAATATAGTTGTTATTTCTGCCATTATTATTATTTCTGGTCTAAACTGTCACAAATGTATGGTCATCTTCATTTGGGCTCAGTCTAATTGTTCAGCTGCACATTTCTCGCTTGAGAGAGTTGAGTAATTATCCAAACACCACATAAAACGCATCATGTTTCAGCAGACCTGATATTAAAGGGTTAGATACACAAAAATAAAAATCCTGTCATTAATTACTCACCCTCATGTCGTTCCAAAGCCATGAGACCTTCGTTCGTCTTCGGAACACAAATTAAGATATTTTTGATGAAATCGGAGAGCTCTCTGACCCTCCCATAGACAGCAACGCAACTGCAATATTCCCAGCTCCAGAAGCTAGTAAAGACATCGTAAAACAGTCCATGTGACATCAGTGGCTCAACTTCAATGTTGCAAAGCTATGAGAACACTTTGCGTGCGCAAAGAAAACAAAAATAACAATTTATTCAACAATTCTTCTCCTCGAGTTACCGTCTTCCACCATTTTGGAGAGTACCACGACACATGCTAATCAGTGTTGTTTACGTTCAGCATGCACGCGTTTTCTCCTGAACATAAACAACGCTGATTATTAGGTTCTGGGGTACTCTCCAAAATTGTTGAATAGCCTAAATTGTCATTTTTGTTTTCTTTGCGGTTTGCGCAAAAAAAAGTGTTCTCTTAGCTTTGCAAAACTGAAGTTGAGCCACTGACGTCACATGGACTGTTTTACCGATGTCTTTACTATGTTTCTGGGACTGGGAACATTGCAGTTGCGTTGCTGTCTATGCAGGATCAGAGAGCTCTCAGATTTCATCAAAAATATCTTAATTTGTGACCCTGGAGCACAAAAGCAGTCATAAGTAGCACAGGTATATTTGTAGCAATGGCCAACAATACTTTGTCTGGGTCAAAATTATAGATTTTTCTTTTATGCCAAAAATCATTAGGATATTAAGTTAAGATCGTGTTCCATTAAGACATTTTGTAAAGTCCTACCATTAATGCATCAAAACTTCATTTTTGATTAGTAATATGCATTGCTAAGAACTTCATTTGGACAACTTTAAAGGCGATTTTCTCAATATTTTGATTTTTTTGCACCCTCAGATTCCTGATATTCAAATAGCTGTATCTCAGCTAAATATTGTCCTATCATAACACACCATACATCAATGTAAAGTTGATTTATTCAGCTTTCAGGTGATGTATAAATCTCAATTTCATAAAACTGACCCTTATGACTGGTTTTGTGGTCACATTTGTGTTCCGAAGACGAACAAAGGTCTTACGGGTTTAGAACGAGATGAGGGCGAGTAATTAATGACTACATTTTCATTTTAGCGTGAACTAACCCTTTAAACGACTGATTAAGCTGACTATATCGGTAAAATATCGGTTGCGCACGCACCTGTCCTCCGAGTCCATGCGGCTGAGCGGCTCTCCGTCCGACGACGAGCTCATCATCTCCAGACTCGCTCGCCTCTTCATTCCTTCGCCGCTGCCGCTGTTTTTCTCCGCCGGTGAAGACGCGCTCTCCTCCTCCCTTTGTTCTCTCTTCATCCGCTCCGCCGTTCCGTCCGCGCAGCCGGGGCTCTTCTGCGGCTCTTTCTCCGGCTCCGCTTCGGTCTCGCCATCCTGGTCGTTGCTGCCGTCTCCCCGCGTGGCTTCCTCCGTTTTTTGTTCCGTAGACTCGCGTCCGTTGGGCTTCTCGTCGGTCTCCGCAGCGTCCATCTTAACGGCCGGTTCCGGATCTGCGGAGCGGAGGCCCGACTCGCTCCCGTCGCCGTTTTGTTCGCTCGGGCTCTGCGACTCTTGCTCGGAACCGTCAGAAGTCATCGCAGCCATCGGTTCCGCTCGTCTGCGCGCGGTCTGGCCGGGTTTAAGCGACGGGAAACGGATGAAACGCGGAGACTTTCGGCGACCGGATCGAGAAGCTGAACTGCTGGAGGCTGATCGGGGGCGCGCGCGGGGGGAGGGGCCAGCGTGACGTCGCGCTTATTATGAATGCCTCCACGTGCTCGCCACTAAACGTGACCCTGGTCCACAAAACCAGTCATAAGAGTCCGTTTTATGAAATTGAGATTTATACATCATCTGAAAGCTGAATAAATAAGCTTTCCATTGATGCATGGTTTGTTAGGATAGGACAATATTTGGCTGAGATACAACTATTTGTAAAATCTGGAATCTGAGGGAGCAAAAGAATCTAAATATTGAGAAAATCGCCTTTAAAGTTGTCCAAATGAAGTTCTTAGCAATGCATATTACTAATCAAAAATTAGGTTTGGATATATTTACGGTATAAATTTACAAAATATCTACACGGAACATGATCTTTACTTAATATCCTAATGATTTTTGGCATAAAAGAAAAATCAATAATTTTGACCCATACAATGCATTTGATATGAATTTATTTCCACTTCTTTAAGAAGTAAATTACAATAATAGTAGTGTTATAAAACACTATAAAAATAAATGTAGATGCAAATATGAAATTCTTTAGTTATTTGAAAGTTTTTTTCTAAAATCTGACTGAAATAAAAGATGAATCATTTAAATTAGTATAGCATTATTAATTCATACTTGAGATACTTTGAAACAGGTCATGTACTTTTAAAAAAATCTAAGTGGTGTAAAAACATTTATTAAAAGACTGAATTTCTAGATAAAACATGTTGGCGTTTAACATTATTATTATTATTATTTCCTAAAACACAATAAATTGATTCTACCTGTTAAATATGATACATATAATAATTTAAAAAATCACATTAGATCTTCAAGGTAGGAAAAACACATATTATGTACACAAAAACTTTTTCACATTATATATATATATATATATATATATATATTCTTTTGGGAAATGTATTTCAAATAATGTTTAGGTTGTAAACTCATGTAATCACGGTTTCTGTACTTGATGGTTACACCACGTGACATTTAATGAAAACATTTGTATAATATTGTTGCATTTTATTCTAACATGTATAACAAATGTGAGGTGTATTTTATGTATTATTTATTAAAAATAAAATAAAAACATAAATAAAACCCGTGTAATGCGCAGAAAGTGCAGCGGAAGTGCCGGTGGTTTTATGAAAGCGAGTGTTGCTGTATTTAGCCCACAGGTTTTCCTCTGATTCCGGTCTTATTGCTGGGTTAGAAACTTTTATCTGCAGCTTTTCTCGTCTGTCTCAGGTGGGGGGTTTCCAGACTCATCTAGAAAATATAATGAGTCAGATGAACCTTTCTGACATTTAAACGTCTCTTCCTGGAAAACACCACTAGATGGCGTCCGGTTCGTGTTTATGGGATTTACACACCGGACTCAAAACCCACAGAATGCACGAACTGTGTTTGGAGCATTTTGAGGCCAAATAATAAATAAGCATTTTATTACATTGATATTTTCACATTTATGAAACACTGATAATGATATGATCGTTTATGAGAAATGATTCGTGGTTTTACACAATATGAGCGGCGGAGGGCGCCACACTGTTGCAGTACTGCATCGAGTCAGCAGATGGTGACAAAACACCTAATTCACCGGTTAATGTGTGTATATTATGTTGAACAATAAAGGGGTCATATGATGCGATTTCAAGTTTTCCTTTCTCTTTGGAGTGTTACAAGCTGATTGTGCATAGATAAGATCCCTGAAGTTGCAAAGACTAAAGTCTCAAAACCAAAGAGATATTCTTTATCAAAGTTAAGACTCTGCCACGCCCCCCTAAAACGGCTCGTTCTAACACACCCCACATATCTACCCCCACTATGTGGAAATATTTGCATAATCCCGCCGCAAATGTGCACGCAAAGAAAGAAGGCATGGTGTCAGTAACCGCAGTTAGTGTTGAAGCAACATGTCAGGGAGACGCTGTGTGTTTAAGTGCGAAAGCTTAAAGTTCAACATAATATACCATGTCTGACTCATATTTGATCTCAAAACAAAACAAAAATAATAAATATGCATATTGATTTCAAAAACATTAAGCAAATTTCTGGCATGTTATTACGGAAATACAAAAAAAATACTATAATAAAAAAGATGTAATGGAAGTACATTCAATTTCAACTGTAAAAATAAAGGGCGCTACACTGTTGCAGTACTGCATCGAGTCAGCAGATGGTGACAAAACACCTAATTCACCGGTTAATGGACTAAAGATCTTCCGCTTCGTACGTTAATATAAATGGAAGTACTAAATTCCAAAAGCCTATTTTTGTCCTGTTTAATTGTATAGTTTTGGGAGAGTTTTCTCTGTAAAGCCTCCGAGATCATATAATGAACACACACACATACCTGGTTTGTTATCCTTGTGGGGACATTCCATAGGCGTAATGGTTTTTATACTGTACAACCCGTATTTTCTATGGCCCTACGCCTAAACCTACCCCTCACAGGAAACTTTCTGCATTTTTAGATTTTCAAAAAAATTAATTCTGTATGATTTACAAGCTTGTTCCCCATGAGGACCTTTTAAGTCCCCACCAGGATATATACACAGGTTTATACACACACACACACACACAAATTTTTATATATAATAACAAAATTATAAAATTAAGTTAATCAAAATAAAAAGTAAATATATTAAATAAAATAAAGTACATTCTAATATTATTTTTAAAATAATTTTCTTTTGTTTAACATAAAATTTATAATTTTTTATTAATAAAAAGTTTGTAATTTTAATATATATTTTAACATGTACTTCACAATATTATCTTAATAAAATATTTTTCCCCCCAATATTTATAAAGTTAATCAAAATGTTTACACACCCAGTATGCCCTAAAGCACATACTTTATATAACAAAATGATAAAAATTTTGACTTGTAGGTAAAAATTATATATCATTTATATAGAATTGTATAGATATTTTAATGAATAATTTTCTAATTTTGCTAAATAAAAATATTTTTTATAAATTTTAAGCTAAATATTGCATATTATATATACATTTCATATTTAAGAAAATATATAGAAAATATGTATAATGTATTTTATATGTAATTTTTAAAATAAAATTAAATGCATAAAAAAAAGAAAATTTACAGAAAATGTATGTATAATAATGTATATATGTACATTTTTTTTTTTTTTATTAAAATGAACTAAAGTATATATATTTTTTAATTCAGTAATATTCATCAGACAGAAAAAAGGAATAGAAAGCTTTTCATATATATATATATATAAGAACATCAACATTTATTTCACATGATATAAAAAAAATGAAATATGCACATTTGCATATTGACTCTGATACATAACCTCTTCTGCGTCTCTGCTCTGCTCATTGTATGGTGTACAGTATATACATCATGAACTTTACAGTTTATACATCGAAGTTGAACACCAAACCCTGCTTATTGCTTTATCAACGGTTTTAAAACGCTCGCTCCTCGTGTGCTATTCTCAAACTAAAGCCGACCTCTGGAATACTCCTCTTAAAACTCTAATACTCTGTACTCGTCTCTCTAGTTAAATATATCTCAGCCATAGAAAAATAAAAGGTAAGCTGGAACATTCATGAGTGTGTCGGGAAACAGTGCGGTGGCTATTGCGGACTATCCAACATACAGATCATTTACAAACCCTGTCCATCGGCAGCAGTACGGTGCCAACTTATTGAACGTTTATAGCTGTACATCGTTTATACACAAATCGTCTGATATCAAAAAAGAAACGATGGGTGTCGGACAGTGCAAAAGATAGGAGTACTAAAAATCCCGTCGACCAACACTAGGTCAAACCGAGAGCGACTGATTAAAATCCATATAAAACAAGCCAACGATGAACACGACCCTCGGCAGACTGAATAAAACCAGTGCGCTTATGGGCTTTGTACGCTCCACTTCCTGTTGACAGTGAGTCTGGGCGCTGTAATGTACATCAGCGAGGGTTTGATAGCACCTCAGACGCGTCTGCACACCCAATCAAACAATAAAACTCTGGCATCTACAGATGCTTCAGGAAACTCAAGAGAGCAAGAGGAATATAAATAATAATCACTATAAAAGAATGGTTTGAACTAAGGCCTGGACGTCGCTGTGTGTGTCGGTCACTTCCTGTCTGTCTGTCTGATGATGATGATGTGTTTGGCTCACGGCGGGACGTCCCATCACATGCTGCGGCTTCACTGATGTCGGTGGAGGGGCTGCTGGACAAACACAACAGCATTTTACACACTTGTATTTAAGATATATTAACATGTCCGTATCGAAATGAATCTCAAAGAAAAATCCTGGTCATCTGATCCCAAAAAACATTTGTTCAACGTTTGTTTATATACACACATACTTTTCTGCATATTAATTCATCTCTATTCATTTTCTACAAATTCTTATTACTAAAATACAGCAAAATTTTAATTGCAATAAAAAAGATGCAATATTTTAAATTATTTTAATGGCAATAAAGGTACATTAAAGTTCAACATAATATACCATGTCTGACTCATATTTGATCTCAAAACAAAACAAAAATAATAAATATGCATATTGATTTCAAAAACATTAAGCAAATTTCTGGCATGTTATTACGGAAATACAAAAAAAATACTATAATAAAAAAGATGTAATGGAAGTACATTAAATTTCAACTGTAAAAATAAATTATGCTAGTATTTGTTGAATACTGAATTTAATTTATGCTGATTTTAATTTTAAAAAGGCATTCAAATGGGATGATTTTCACGACTCAGTTTAGAGGAAATTGTGTCTAATTGTCAAAATAATGTCATAATGAAAAAAAAAAAAAACCTTAACTGCCCCAAAAGCATTTTCGTTATGTAAAATACAACTGATTATTTTCTTTTGATTTTGGAGTGAAATGTGACTCTTACATTTCTTTGTGAACTTCATACTGCTGTGCAAAACAAATGCAATCTTCATGCAGTCAAGAAGAATTTTTAGCAGTTAAATAATGCAGTACTTTTTATATTTACATCATAACACCCGAGTTATGTTTTCATTAAGTAACACAAATTGCCTTTGTGTTTGACTTCACTTACTGACAAAAACCAATTAAAATCCTCTCCGTTCCACAGAACAGCAATTAAAAGGTATGTGTTCATGCAAGTAATACAAATCATAACAAACAATGTTTATATTGTCGATAGAAATATCAGCATCTGCACCAAATTTGCTGATTTTTTTATAAAACTGACCTGTTTTTGAGCTCCATATTCTCACTATATCATACTGTATGAACCAGAAAAGCCTGATGTATGATGCTAACTAGATATTATATGCTAACTATATATATATATATGTATATATATATGAGCGTGTTGTCATGTGCAGCGGTGTCTGAATGACTCTTAATTGCACTGTTAATTAGTGAAGCTTTATGCTCACTGAGACTCTATGAAGCTAATGAACTCTAGTTGGGAGGCTAATTACTGCTTCATTTTTAGAGGATCCTTTATTTTCCTCCGAGAACAGCCAGATTATTACACACACACGCTTGTATTTATGATGCACTAAAATCCCTCAGAAAGCGTCTCCTGTCGGACTGATTTTATGAGCAGATTCATTACAAACACTTACCGAGAGCACTGAATAAAAACACGATTCAAACAAACACGTAATCTGTGGTGAAGTGAGTCAGACTGTGTGTGTGTGTGTGTCTTACAGAGACAGACAGACAGACAAACAGACACAGACATACAGACAGACAGACAGACAAGCTGGTTAATCACACTGACACGTTCAAGCAGGGCATTAAATAAAGTCTATCAAATGACTTTCAACTGACTCTTTTGAACGATTCTTTTTTTAGTGAATCAAAAATACATAGTAGTCGTGCTTAATGTTTTTTTGATTCGCTAAAATCAAATTCACTAAAAAGTTATAAAACACTCAAATACACAACAGGTTTAGTGTTAGTGGTTCCAGCTTCAGGTGCACAGAGTTATATTTAAAATGTTAAATATTTCAATGAATATATAATGTAATAAACAAATGAATATGTAAGTTACAAATATATAGACGTTTAAATATATACATATTTATATATAATTTCATAAATAAATGAACATATAAATAAATATACAAATTAATATATTATTCACTAAAAAGTTTCAAATGCAAATCCAAATAGTGTTAGTGGTTCCAGTTTCAGATACACAGAGCAGTAAGGAGAAGGTCTTTCAAATGTTCTGAAGGCAGTTTAATGGAGAAGAGAGCTCATCTTCAGTGCCCACCTGACATCAGTGTGCTGTGTTTGCTGTTGCTCAGCTCATACGACACGTCCTGCTCTTGACTAGAGGGCTTCTCATCCTCCTCCTCTTCCTCCTCGTCTTCCTCAGTGCCCACGCGCACCATGACGGCCATCTGTAAGCTGACACACACAGTGGAGAGCGGTCAGTCCTGAGTGAGTGACTGTGTGTGTTCAGATCAGTGTGAAGCGGTTTGTACCTGTTCTGAGTGGCCAGAGTCCTGCGGTACTCCAGCGGACTCGTGTGTTTGGGCTCTGATTGGTCCTCGTTCAGCACCGGTTTAGGACCCGCGGCCTTCAGAAGAGACTCTTTAATGGAGGCCGATCGGGACACGGCCGCTTTCTCCTGAGCACAGACACAAACACATCAAATACACAAACGCCATCAGAGTGTTCACTGCTCCCTAAATGACTAGTGAGGGATATTTACATATTTGATGATGATATGTATTTATGTTAAATATATAAATAATATAAATGAAATAATTCATGTAAGGGTGGTCACGATACCAGTCCCAATAATAGTTCACCATTCTTGATCCCAGTTTTAATACTAATGCAATATCAATATGCATTAATAAAATTTGGCACATATAACATCATAATAATAATAATATTGTAAAGCTTGACCTAACCCAACCAGAATATTATATATAATAAATTTAATATTTTGCTTATATGACCATGACCAACTGTTTCTTTTAGCAGTGTTATTTTAGTATCATTAAGATGTTTTTTATTCATAGCTTTAATTAGGTTGTAACATTTTCCTTTTTTATTTTCAATTTACAGTTTTAGTCATTTTGTTGTGCGCCTTTGACATTTTTATTATACTTTTTAAAATTTTTTTATACATGCCCACAGGGGCGTAATTTCCACTGGGGACAGGGGGGACATGTCCCCCCCACTTTTCAAAATCACGTTTGTGTCCCCCCCATTTTGTGTCCCCCCCACTTCTCAAACAAAAGTTACACCCTTGCATGCCCATATAGTTTTTATCATTTATTTATTTCAGTTTTAGTTACTGTATTTTGCTACACAAAGGTAAACTAAATAAAATTGAGAAATGTTTCCTTAGCAACTGGCTGGAATAAATTTTTTTTTTACATATTTTATTTTATTTTAGTTAATGTTTATTTTATGTTTATGTTTTAGTTAACTATAACAACCCTAGGCAAACTTTAGTAGTAATGCTTGTATGCTTGTGTGTCATGCACATTTATAGGGATTTTGAACAATTAATTCAAATGACTTTTTCATTAGTTGTCCAGTCATTATTGATGGATAAGGATAAAACAAAATGCAGATAGCACTCAAAGAACTATTTATGATTTTAAATAATAATTTATATGATTAATTATTATTCATAATTTAATATATACCTGCATAATTCATGAATCTCTCTCTCTCTCTCTCTCTCTATATATATATATATATATAAAATTCTTTCTCTCAATACATATATATATATTGTAAATAATCAATATATTTAAATTATTATATGTAATTATTATTACATATTAATATCATACTTCAAGTTTTTCCAGGACAGCTGTTCTTGGAAATGTTTGTTTGTGTGTATGAATATGTACCTTGTTCTCCAAGTTGGCATTTCCAGATTCCACATCTTCAGTATTCTTGCAGTTTTCTTCTGCATCGGTCGGTTTGGTCGTCAGCTGTGGTTGCTCCTCAGGCGACGTGTGTCTGCGGTCGTCCTGCTCATCTGGAGAGATCACCGGGCTCTTCTTACGCATCTGAGGGAACAGAAGAGGAAGCGATAAACAAGAAACGCTGGAGACATTCACAGACATCCATTCTAAAGCCTGGCAGGAACACAGCGAGCCGGAAAACTGCAAAGTGCAGCGCTGTGGGGAATCATCAGCAGCACAGTGACTCATGGCTTTGAACCGGACAGAGCAGGTTTATGAGAGGAAGAGCCCTCCGGACCAGAGGCATGATGGGAATGTGACACGGATGGTCCGTTATTGATGTATTCATGTCCTGTGGTAGTCTGAGCTGCTTCACTCATGTGAGAGTGCAGGTCACGGCCGAGCATTTATAAACCTCAGATGATACAGTCAACTAACAGACACAGGTTTATTGTCATATATATAACAGGTTTACTGTGTCATATTTCTGTCCTCCAAGTAAAACAGCAACAGGAGGCAACAAAATTCCCAGCCAATAACAACATACACTATATTGCCAAAAGTATTGGGACACCTCCTTCTAATGAACAGGTTTGACTAATTCAGTCATTTCCATGAGCACAAATCTTAATGTTTAAGCATATAATGATATTCCAGGCAATTGTGTGCTTCTAATTTTATAGCAACAGTTTGGACAGGACGCTTTTCTGTTCTAACATGACAGTGCCTCTGTGTATAAGGCAAGGTTCAAAAAGAAATGATTGATTGAGTCAGTGTGGAAGAACTTGACCGGTCTGCAGAAAGCCAGCTGAACACCTCTGGAGTGACTTTAAATGCAGACCTTGAGCCAAAAACTCATCACTAAACACCAGTGACTTATACATATGAGTACAGTCATTTTAGACACTTCCAAAACTGTGGCAACAAAGAAGGAAACATAACTCATGTATTTAAAAATTGTATTTCCATCTCTGTTGCAACAGTTTTGGAAGTGTCTAAAATGACTGTACTCATATGTATAAGTCACTGGTGTTTAGTGATGAGTTTTTGGCTCAAGGTCTGCATGTAAAGTCACTCCAGAGGTGTTCAGCTGGCTTTCTGCAGACCGGTCAAGTTCTTCCACACTGACTCAATCAATCATTTCTTTTTGAACCTTGCATTATACTCAGAGGCACTGTCATGTTAGAACAGAAAAGTGTCCTGTCCAAACTGTTGCTATAAAATTAGAAGCACACAATTCTCTAGAATAACTTTATATGCTTAAATATTAAGATTTGTGCTCATGGAAATGACTAAAAATAGTCAAACCTGTTCATTAGAAGGGGGTGTCCCAATACTTTTGGCAATATAGTGTATCTCATGTTTAAAATGCAGAAATTACAAGCTGGCCAGTGTATTTTTAAGCACATAAACTCTGGTACCTGTAGGGTGTAGTAGGGGTTGTCTTTGGTGAAGGAGAGGCTGCGGGACAGCGATCCGTCCTCTCGTCTTCGTTCACGCAGCGCCCCCTGCTGATGCCTCCTGATTCGCTCCATCTGCTCCTCCACGCTCATGCGTGTTCGGCCCACCTCTACAGCGCTGCTCATGTGCTCCACCGCACTGCGCGGACGGTCCTGCGGCTGGGACTAAACACACGCATATTACACTGTACATGCATACACAAATACATATATATACACTTCACAGTATATTATACAATTATACTCTATTAAACAAAACAAAATGTGTATATTATATTCATAAACAAATACATATATATTAAACAAATATTCATGTAAAATACTAAAATTCTATATTAAGCAAAATAATTTTTAATGTACAATTATCATACAAATATTATTATATAATATAGTATTTCCATTAATATTATATATATATATATATATATATGTGTGTGTGTGTGTAAACATACTAAACTAATATTATACAAAATTATCAAGCATTAACTTAAAAAAATTATTATATATACATTAATATTTTATATGATATATTAATTTATTAAAATATACACAACTATAAAAACTAATTTATTAACTTATGTTATATTAAAAATACATAAAATTGAATCTAAAATGCAAAATAACCTTTTTATTTCTCAGATGATAACTGGAAGCTAAAGTCATGCCACCAGCGCAGCATATTGTTTCAAATGTTTATTCGTCTGTGCTAAGCCAAATCTAACCAGAAGAATTTAACCAACCAGCACAACCATTTGTTTTGCAAAGTCAAACACAATTCACATTTTTCCTCAGAAAATCTACATTACATTCTATTAAACATATGATTTGTAAAGCAGTATGCGGTATACAGAATAAACTGCATCCTTACTGTTCTGGGATCAGGTTTCTTGCTCTTCCTCAGGGTGACATAAGAGGCGATGGTGGAGGATTCAGGCATAGGTGATTTAGTCCTGGGACTGACCACTCCGACGGGGTAAACTACACCTGACACACAGAGACAGAGAGAGATCAGCGGCCAGCAGGAACACCTTTAGGACTTTAAGTGATATATGCAGAGATAGAAGTGATAAAGAGTTATGTTTGATGTGTTTGTCAGGCACCTTTGGTGACGCCAAAGAAATCAGGCTGAAATTATTTAAGATGTTAAATAATATATAGGTGGTCAGTAAAAATGAATACAGATTTTTTAAAAATCTGTCAGAAAATGTTTATGACGTTAAATGATGTATAGTTGGTCAGGAAAAATTTACATTAAAAAAATCAGGCAGAAATAACTGAATATCCACTGATGAGGCTGAGATAATGGGGAATAAACGCAAAGCGGATGTGTTTTTTTCATCTCAGAATGGCAGATCGCTAACAAACACAATCTAATCTCAAAAGCAAACTGACGCTGGGTTTCTGAAGCGATGGCGATGGGTTAATGAAGATGGGATGGGATGGGCGAGGGGGGTGCTAACAAAAACACAATCTAAACTCAAAACCAAAGCTAATGTTGGGTTTCTGAAGCGATGGGTTAAATGAAGATGGCGGATGGGATGGGGTGGGCGAGGGGGTCACAGCTGCGTCTTACGCTGTGGGCGCCGTTGCGCTGGGCGGCCTTGCGGTCCTCGGGCCGGTGAGGGGTGGTGCGAGGTGCGTGAGGAGGCCGGTCTCCCCCCTCATAAGAGTACGGGAGAGGAGGACGCGGAGGCACTGAGTCTGACTCCTACACACAACCCACAGTCACGGCCAACAACCAACCACAGCAGCACAATACAGGTCAACTCGTGCTGAGGTCTGTGTGTTAGGGCTGGGACAATAAATCGATGCATCGCGATTCGTGGATCGATTCGGAGATTTCGGAATACATCGTGATTCTCTCTCGAATCGATTCTGAGCTTAGTTTTTAACAGCAGATGGCGCTCTAAGCTAGTTTTTAACCGCACACTCAAATTGTCACGAAGAAGAGCGCTTGCGCGTTCGGCTGAGTCATGTAAGTGTTTAAATGTACTTGCACATGGGCTTTTATGATGCGAGATTAATGTAAACACAGCCCACTGTGAACATCCTTGTAATTCGCTTCAGCCTTTTCGAACTTTATGAATGATTATTTTAGGATTAAATGGTGTGTGTGTAAGGAACTGGAAGCAAGCAGAATACGGCTGTTTCTAAAGCACGCAGTGCCATCTGCTGTTAAAAACTAAGCTCAGAATCCATTCAAGAGAGAATCGCGATGCCTTTGGAAAATCTCAGAATCGATGCAGAATCATTTCTTGAATCGCGATGCATCGATTTATTGTCCCAGCCCTAGTGTGTGTGTGTGTGTGTGTGTGTGTGTGTGTGTGTGTGTGTCCGTGCGCTCGTTTAAACAATTACACAAACATTATCATCATGAGGTCGGGAATAATCACTTACTTCACTTTTATGCAGGTTTGACAGGGGGTTTGCGCCAGGAAAACCTACAAATACAGAAGGAGGAGGGTAAAATCTTTATGAATTCATGGCTGCTAGTGTTGCTTTTGTTAACTAAAATGAAAACTATGGTTTCAGTTAATTGAAATAAAGCTGGAATTAAATAATAAATAAATATAAGATGAAAAACCCTGACAACTAACTAAAATGCGTTTAAATACTAAAATCACTAAAACTATAGTTTAAATAAAAAAAATAAATTCAAGGTAAACTGTGATATAAAAAAAATGAACAGACTAATAAAAATGACAAAAATGTCAAATTAAATTCAAAATTAAAATGTTAATAAATACTATAACAGTATATAAATAATATTAATATAACTAATAATAACTGCTAAATAGCCGGCAAATTAAAAAACATGTAAAAACGATGATAATAATTGCAAAATAAATCTTAATATATGAAAATGCATGATTTAAAATAAGACATTTTGAAGTATAAATATAGAGTTATAAAATGGAAATTGAAAAAAAAGGTTTACAAATTTAGTTTGAGGTATTATTGAAAAGTATTGTAAAGATACATTTTCATGACAAAATGTATTAAAAATACATGTGAAAATGATCATTGTAAAATAAATCTTAATATATTAAAATGTATATATTTAAATTCAGACATTTTAAAGTATAAATCTAAATACAGAATTATTAAATGGAAATGGGAAAAAGGTTTAAAATGGTATACTTTTTGTCTTGTGTTATTATTGAAAATTGCTGTAAAGAAATTTTTAATGAAAAACTATATAAGATGAAAAATATATAAATTATTACAATAATAATTCAAACATAAATTTTAAGTAATACATGCAAATATACAGATTTAAAAATACACATATATTAAAGTATAAAACTAAATATAGAATTATAAAATGGAAATTGGAAATAGTTTTAAAAATATATTTTTGTCTTGTGTTATTGTAAATTACTAATGAAGAAAAATGTGCATGAAAAATACATGTTAATAAATAATAAAAAATACATAAACATATATAAAGTATAAAAATAATAAATCTTAAATAACATGAACATCTACAGATTATAAAAAGATTTTTAAAATTATAATTTTCATGCCGAGGCCAATAAAAACATTGGCAGAACAAGTAGAAATCTGAAGAAAGTGTCATTACTGTTGCTCATGTCTGTTAGTGAAGTGTTGTTGATTATCAGTCAGATAATATCAGTGTGGAGTGTGTTTTTCTTGTTCTCTCACTGGGTTCTGCGTTTCTCTTGGGTTTGTTCTTGTTCAGCGCCTCTATCACATCCTGAATCCTCCACAACTCCTTCTGGATCTGGACGTGTTTTTGGCTGGGCGGCTCCGTCTACACACACACACACACACACACACACACACACACCTCAGCTCAATGTCTATTGGAGTCATCTTCAATATACACTATAATGCCAAAAGTATTGGGACACCCCCTTCTAATGAACAGGTTTGATTACTTTTGAGCCAAAAACTCATCACAACAGAGATTTTTAAATACATGAATTATGTTTCCATCTTTGTTGCCACAGTTTTGGAAGTGCATTTTCTGTTCTAAAGAAGGGGGTGTGCCAATACTTTTGTCCATATAGAGTATGTACAAGTCACTGGTGTTTAGTGATGAGTTTTTGGCTCAAGGTCTGCATTTAAAGTCACTCCAGAGGTGTTCAGCTGGCTTTCTGCAGACCGGTCAAGTTCTTCCACACTGACTCAATCAATCATTTCTTTTTGAACCTTGCCTTATACACAGAGGCACTGTCATGTTAGAACAGAAAAGCGTCCTGTCCAAACTGTTGCTATAAAATTAGAAGCACACAATTGCCTGGAATATCATTATATGCTTAAACATTAAGATTTGTGCTCATGGAAATGACTGAAGTAGTCAAACCTGTTCATTAGAAGGAGGTGTCCCAATACTTTTGGCAATATAGTGTACATTCACATACTGCTAGTATTCAATCAAACGTGTCACCTGTGGGCTCCCGAGGGCCTCGAGCTGCTCCAGTAGGTTCGTTTTGGCCATTGTGACGTCCGCCTCCAGCCGATCGTACTCCCTCCAGCTCCGCTCCAGCTCCTGTCAGCAGCACAGCATTATGGGTGAGCGACTGAGAGCGTGTAGCATTGCATCAATCAAAGCAGACGTTACGAGGGACGTACAGTGTTGACGCGCGACAGCTCTCTGCAGGTGCTGAGCAGGCCGCTCTGCAGGACGTCCCGCTGCTGGATGACGCTCTGCACCGCCGCAGGGTTTTCAGCGCTCATCTCGATCTCCTGACTGGCCGACAGCAAGGCCGTCTCCAGCGTGTGCTGCAAACACACACATGCACGAGTGAGACGGCCGTCACAACCCACTGCGAGACGCTGAGGAGGGACATGTTTGCTACCTTTTCTCTGTGGAGCTGCTGCAGTTTTTCTGCTTGATTTCTCACTACTTTATCCTGCTCACATAGTCGACTTAACTTCGCCTGTAACAGTACAAATATACACCAATAATTATGACAGAATAATGGGTACGTTTCAGTCTCCAATGAATGTGAGTTTGTAAAATGGCATGAAGAATAATTATACAAGAATTTGGGGAAAAATCATTTGGAATAAAATAAAATGTTTAATTTTATGTAAAAGTTAAATAAAATACCCATTTATATACACTACCGCTCAAAAGTTTGGGATCAGTAAGACTTGTAATGTTTTTTCAAGAAGTCTCTTATGCGCATCAAGGCTGCATTTATTTGAACAAAAATACAGAAAAAAACAGAAATCTTGCAAAATGTTATTACAATATAAAATAATGGTTTCTATTTTAATACACTTTAAAATATAATTTATTTCTGTGATGCAAAGCTGAATTTCCATCAGCCATTACTCCAGTCTAAAGTGTCACATGATCCTTCAGAAATCATTATCATATGCTGATTTATTATCAGTGCTGGAAACTGTTGTGCTGCTTAATATTTTTTTGGAACCTGTGATACTTTTTTCAGGATTCTTTGATGAATAAAAAGTTAAAAAGAACAGCATTTATTCAAAATATAAATCTTTTCTAACAATATAAATCTTTGCTATC